CCACGCTGCTGCGGCCAAGGCCCACCGAGGCCACCGTGTCCCTGTCCTCCCTGGTCGACTACCCCCACCAGGCCCGCGTCGTGGAGACCCTCATTGCCCACTACGGCCTGATCTTCGAGGAGGAGCCCGAGGAGGTGCCTGGGGGCCAGGTGAGGGTGGTGGCGGGGCCCAGGGCTGCCCACTCCAGGGGTGCCGGGACCAAGAGCCCTGGTTTCAGCAGGGTGGTCAGGAGGGGCCTCGGAGGCATTTTTTTTTTTTAAACTCCATTTATTCATTTGACAGAGAGAAACACAGCGAGAGAGGGAACACAAGCAGGGGGAGTGGGAGAGGGAGAGGCAGGCTCCCCGCTGAGCAGGGAGCCCGATGCGGGGCTCGATCCCGGGACCCCGGGACCCTGACCCGAGCCCAAGGCAGACGCTCAATGACTGAGCCACCCAGGCGCCCCTCTCGGAGGCATTTCTAAGCAAAGAACCGACGAGGGGGGCTCAACTGTGGGGGAGCTCCACTGCCGGTGCAAAGGCCCTGCGGCCGCACCTCCCCCACCCGCCTCTGGAGCCCGGCCCATCCTGCTCCTCCAGCACATCCTCAGGCTCGGGCTCGCGTGCTGCCCCCCGGGTCCACCTGCCACTTTGCCCGGCTGCTGGGCCACCGGTTCTCACTTCCACAAGCTCTGCGTGCTTGGTTTCCCAGCACCTCGCTCATGCTCCAGTCCCCGTGGAGGGCCTGTCCTCCCTCTCCAGGGGCCTGTGGGTGTGCAGGGGCGGCCGGACACACTGGCGTCCCCGCGGGGCCTCGGCCTGCTGCCCCAGGGGGACAAGCGCAGCCCGTGTGCAGCACGGGATTCGGTGTCACATGTACACTTGCACAGGGTGCTAACTAGGTTTAGGCATTTTCAGTTTTTAGTCAGTTCACAACACTGAGGACAGAGCTAGGGGTGGGCCGGAGTCCCGGGCCCTCCCCGAGCCCTGTTCTGCCACCTGCAGGACGGCACGTACGTGCAGCGGGCTGAGGCCCCGGTGCAGATGGCGCACCCAGAGGCGAGTGCGGGGGCCGCCCTCCCCCTGCAGGAGGAGGCCGCGGACGGGGGCCCAGGTGAGCGGTGGGGACGGCCAGGCAGGCTGCTGGGCGGAGTCCCTGGGCGCCGCGCGGCTGGGGGTTTGTCTCCCACGGAGAGAGCTGGTCTGACCTGCTGCAAACACCAGCCAGGAGATGCCTTTCTGAGGTGCTGTGTAGACACCGAGGGGGTACCCCGCACACGGCAGCAGCCCCGTGCGCCCCGTGCGCGGAGCCTGCCCCTCTGGCTGTGGGCGGGCGGCGCCGGGGCAGGGAGCCGGGCCTGGTGAGGGTGGCAGCGTGTCAGGCGGTGGGCCCCAGGGCCCTCCTGGTCACGACATGTCCGTCTGTCCCGTCTCCCCCCGCCCGCGCCCCCCGCCTTTCCTGACCTCCCAGAACCCCAGGTGGCCTCCAATGACTCCGACTCCGAGGCGGAAGAGGCCTCAGACCTGCCGTCCCCGGCGGACGGGGGCGCCCTGCACCGCCTCAGTTTCCCGGAGAGGCCGGGCAGCGAGGCCAGCGTGGAGGAGGGCCGGGGCAGCCGCAGCGGCAGTGAGGAGCAGCTGGGGGCCGCGGCCGTGGCCGGGGCCGGGGAGGGCCTGGCCCAGCAGCTTTCCGAGTACAACACCAACCAATGCAACAACATGGCTGAGGTCCAGCTGCCCGCCATGAGGCTCCGCGGTGGGCGGGTCGAAGCAGGCTCAGGCCAGGAGAGGCAGCCGGAGCGTGTCTAGCTGGGGCACTGCATGTCCAGTCCCCGTGGATGTCCAGGCCCCGCGAGGCCTGCTCCAAGCCCAATGCACGGAGGACACTGCTGGCTGCCTTTTCCAGAAGCTTCCGGGAGCACGGGGTGAGGCTGAGGCCTGCCCCGTGTTTGCCTGCGTGCTGGGGGCCGTGTGGACGGAGGAGCCACGTACGCCCCTGCTGAGTGGCCCTGCCCTCGGGGCCAGCCACCCCACCGGCCACTGGGCCACCACGGAGGCCATGCTGGAAGCCAGATGGCAGGGGCCAGGAGGCAGCGTCGGGCCCCGGAGGGTGTAGGCACGCGGTGAGGTCTGTCCTGGCTCACAACGTAGATTTTCAAATGCACATTTATTTTGCTTAAAATAAAGTTTTAAATCTGAGCCCATCTTGTCTGGTGGTGTGGGAGGGGGCTCTAGTCAACTTAGCATCTCCTCGGTGCCTCGCTGGCGACGACTCGCAGGAAGAGAAATTCCAGTAAAACAGCCCAGTTAGGGACCTTCGAGGCTGGCTGTGCACACACAGGCGTCAAATAAGCACTTCCTAGAAACGTCTGGCCCAGCGCTGCTTGGTGGAACCTTCCAGAAATGCCGTCCATTCAGGCTGTCGGGCTGACGGCCACCAGCCCCACGTGGCTACTAAGCCCTGGAATGTGGCCGGGCCGAGCACCTGAAGTGCAAATCTCCTTTACACTGAGCAGCCTCAGGGCCGTGGCCACCTTGTGGGGCAGCACAGTGAACCCTCAGCCAGCGGCGGCCGAGGACCCTCCCCAATTCCTCTTACTGACCCCTCACCCCGGCTGCACTGATCTTGGAGGCTCAAGGTCGGCTCAGCAGCGGCAAGACCCAACCTCTCATTTGCTGTGAAAAACTAGATGGAATTCACACCCATCAGGACATAAACGGCTGGGGAGAGGGGCCGGGCCCCGAAACCTGCAGCCCACCCCCCGGCTCAGTTGAGCAGCATCAGTGCCAGACAGAACGCTCTGCAGCAGCTAAGAAAAATCCGGAAAAGGTGGTCACCGAGCCAGCAAACAGCGACCCAACGCTGGCTAACAGCACACGGCCATGTCCACGCGTTTACGCCCTGCCTGTGGCCCCTGCTGCCCAAAGTACAGCAGGGACCATCTGGCCCAGAGCTGGAAATATAACCACAGTAAAAAAAATTTGGTTATTGGTCTTTTCTCCTCACAGTGGGGTTTTAATTGTTCTTTGTGTGTTTGTAAATAAACGTGCAAAGCTGTGTGAGAACGTATCTGACTACGAAGTCGAGCCACGCGAAGAGTCTCTAAGCGCACAGCTCAGCGGCGTGAAGCACACTCACCCTGTCCTGTGACCACCCCCACCCTCCGTCTCCAGAACGTTCCATCTCCCCACACGGAGACTCTGTCCCCGTGAAGCACGGACTCCCCACCCCCACCCTCCGTCTCCAGAACGTTCCATCTCCCCACACGGAGACTCTGTCCCCGTGAAGCACAGACTCCCCACCCCCACCCTCCGTCTCCAGAACGTTCCATCTCCCCACACGGAGACCCTGTCCCCGTGAAGCACGGACTCCCCACCCCCTGCCCCAGCCCCGGCTCCCACCCTCTCCTCTCTGTGTGGACGGGACTCCTCCGGGGACCTCCTGGGGTCTGGCTTACTTTGGACAAGCTGACTCTGGAAAACAGCGCATGTGTATTTGGGGGGGGCAGGGGACAAGCTCTACCTTTCACAGGTGGATGGATCCGTGGGAGAGGACCTGTGTGCATGCACAGGAGGACCCACTGGCCATCCTACAAGGCATCGAGAGCCTGGTCTGTCCAAGTGGAAAGTGCATCCCTGTGTCACACTACGCCCAGGAGCCCATCGCAGAATTTAAGGCCACGTGTAAATGCACCAAACTTACGAACAGATTTTTGAGAAATCTCAATCACAGAACACACCTCCGCCAAGTGTGTATGTGATGAGAGACACACATGCATGCCCGTGGCTGCGTGCCGGGAGCGACAGGGACACGCGCAGCCCAACTGCACGGCACGTGAGGGGCGGGCAGACCTTCCTGCACAGACGACATGCATGTGGCCTCTGAGCCAAGAGAACAGCCATGTGGTTAGTCATCAGGGAGAAGGCATCCCACGCACAGCGAGGCCGACCTCACCGCAGCGAGCGCTGCCAAGGCGTGCGGGTCTGACACGGGCCGCCAAACAGCCTGGCGGTTTCTCCACCGGGTGACCCGATTCCGCACGACCCAGCAATCCTACGGCTAGATACACACCCAGAAAAAATGAAAACACACGACGAGACAAAACGTGTATGCGAACGCCCACGGCAACGTTATTCACAAGTCACTGCCGAAAACGGATGAACCCAGTGTCCGCGGAGGGTAAATGGGTAAGTAGAATGTGGGTGTGCGCAGCTGGACAGGTAACACACAGCGCGTCCTCCACGCACCGGAGCGTCCCGCGGCCGCAGACGGGAGCGAGGCGCCCACACACGTGGCCCTGGGGACGGACCCCGAGCCCACGACGCTCAGGGAGGGAGCCAGACACGCAAGGCCACGCGGGGTATGAGTCCACGTGGGTGACACGTCCGGAACGGGCTCATCCACGGACGGGAAGGGGGCTCAGGGGGCGGGGGGCGGGGGAGAAGGTGGGGAGTGACCATTGATGGGGGCGGGGGCGCTCAGGGAGGGACCCGGACACGCAAGGCCACGCGGGGTGTGAGTCCACGTGGGTGACACGTCCGGAGCAGACTCGTCCGCGGACGGGAAGGGGGCTCGTGGGGGTGGGGGCTGGGGAGGGGTGACGGCTGATGGGGACGGGGTTCCTTTCGGGGTGATGACAAGGTCTAAAAGCCACTGAGTGGTGTGCTGCAAATGCATGCGCCGTGGTACGTGAACTAGGTCTCAATAAAGCCGTTGTTAAAACGAAAAGAAAAGCAAACCTCTTAACCCGAACCAGGAAGGCCTTCTGAAACTAGACACTAATGGGGAAACTGCATAACCTGACCACAAACTTTAATGCAAGGAAAACACCAGGAATAGAGCTGAGAGCAGCCCAGCAGCACTGCCCCGCCCCACGCTGCCCACCCCCACCAAAGACTGGACAGGGACGTGCCTGGACATGGCCACCCTGGGGGGCGGGGGGCAGGCCCAGGGTCTAGAGCCTTGAGCAAGGCCACTCACTGCAAACCTGTCATTCTGCCTTGCTTCTCCAGATAAGCCACTTTACTTGCACAAATACTTTTAATTTTTAAAAACACCCAGCATCAAATAGTAACTCGCTCCCTGCTGCCCCGGGTGTGCTCAGACGGCCTCAGGGCCACCCTAGGGCCACAGGGGTGGGGGCTGGCCGGAGACTTGAGCCAGGACTGCTGTGGGTCACCGGCTGCTGCAGGCCTCCCCGTGGCATCCTGTCCCCTCCGGAGGCACGGTCACGCAGGGTCCAGGGTGGGGCTCAGCATCCAGGGGAGGTCGCCCCGGGGTCCAGAGCAGCAGTGGTGAGGTTCCTGGGGGGCGGCGGCGGTGGCCACAGCCCCATCTGTCTCCAGGCCGCAGGGCGGGAGAGAGAAGGAAGGACGACCACGTGTTACGTCTGTTGTGTGAGGTGAGACCAGCCGAGCAGGAAGTGGGGCTGCCGACAAGGCCCCCCAGGAGGTGACAGAGAGGACTGGGGGGGAATAGGAAGACGGGGCTCACTCCTGGATGGGCCCTTCCTGCACCCCAAAAGGGAGAGCCCCCCCACCCCCGCCCCGTCGGGCCCCGTGGCCACAGCGCACATCTCACCTGTGAGCTGGGCGGCTACTGCACCAGCCGATAGGTGATGTACCTCCCTGCGGTCTCACTGGGCCGGATGATCTTTACCACCTGTGGACACACGAAAGCAGGGGCTGGGGCGGGGCCTCACAGTGGACCCTGGGCCTGGGCGAGGAGCCGGCGTAAGCGACGGCCCTGGCTCTAGAGGGGGCTGGGGTGGAACGTCTCACCTGCCCTCGCTTTATCCCGAAGTAGCGGGCCACCGGGTCTCCGGCCTGGATCCTGGGCAGCTGGTTCTCTCGGAGTTTACTGAGAAGCTCAGTCAGGGAAAAACCCAGGCTCCACTGGCTGGGGTGCGAGTAAGGGTGTGCAGGTGGGAGGGGAGGAGAGGGCCCAGGGCAGGGGCCGAAAGGATACTACCGGGCCAGCAGCTCGGTCACCTCCTCCTTGGTCATAACGACGTGCTCTGGGACCAGCTGCCAAGGGGAGAAGCTGAGTCTCCAGGGGTGCGAGACCCCACCGTACCCCCACACAGAAAAGGGGCGCAGGGCGGGCCGCAGGCTGTTTCCTTGGCGTGAACCGCCCACCCAAGGCGCTCAGGGACGTCACAGAGTCCCTGGCTGCAGTCCCGCCCTGCTCCTGGCTCCACACGTGGATGAGGGACTAGAGCCTGCAGCTCATGCAGATGGGCCGTGGGGCACAATCTGGGGACCCCTGGGGCAGCAGATTCCACCCCCCCGCCTCCCAGCTTCCTGACTCGTGGCAGGTTCGCAGGCGATGCTGCTGCTTCCCACCCAGGGCCACACTCGGAGACCCCCGCTCTACTTCCTTCAGAGATCTTCACCCCCAAACAGGGAGCACCACTGCCCGGACACATCCCCATCTGCCTCCTACGATCTGGCGGGGGCCACACCTCTGCCGTCCCCCAGCAGCCCCCTACCTCGTGCTCCGTGATGTTGATGAGTAGTTCCTGCTGCAGAAACTGCTCCAGGATGTACTTGGGGGCCATGTCTACCAGGGACTGGAAGAGAGGCCGACACTCATGCACGGCCAAGGACCAACATGATGCCACCCCATTTCCTCCCCAGAGGCTGACGGTGGGCTGGCGGCCAAAGGGGGCTTACTTCCACACTTCAGTAAGGTGCCACGCGTCATAAATCAGGAAATCCCACCGCCGGTCAGCGGGACTTCTCGAGGAGGAAGAGCCCGCCCGCCCCCCCCGACACGTTTCCAAGGTCTCAGCCTGGTGTCACAGTGACCTCTGACAAAACGCTCCCGGGGCTGTCCCTGTGCTGGTGGGACTGCGAGAACTCTGCACAGGGACGAGACCGCTCGCTCGCCCACCACCCCAAACAGCAGCCTCCACCCAGACCTGTCCAGCCCACGCTCCAGGATGCGGGCGCCCACAAGGGCCACCTCGCCGCTCTGGCTTCTCTCAGCAGGCATCGGCCGTGAGAGCACTGGGAGAGCCGCTCCTTCCCAGATCCCAGGCTCCTGAGGCCCCATCAGGACACGGGGCCGATACCCCCAGGGGCCGGCGGGCAGCGTGCCAACCCTTGGTGAAGACTGTCAGCAGGGTCCGGGGAGGGGGAACATGAGGCGCACGACCTCCCACCTGGGGGGGAGGGGACCACACGCACGCCCACCTGCTTGGCGGAGGGGGTCATGCCCTGCTGCACCACGATGAGGGCCCGGGTGATGTTCTCCTCCTGCATCCGCTGGCAATACACCTTGATGGTCTTGATTCCCACTTTAGGCTCCTCTGCGGACAGAACACATGGTGCTCTACACTGCAAGGGCCCCTCTTCCCTGGGGGGCCCTGCATCCTAGCTCTATCTCACCAAGGCGTCCCAGTGCCACTCGGGAATAGGCTCTTCTCCCTGGGGCCTCAGTTTCCCCACGAGCCCAACGGGAACCAGGGTGCTGGTTCTCCTCCACATCTGCTGGGGAGCTGGAAGGTCCCCTGCACCTCCCCACCTAACGGATCCTCTCTGGAACTAGGATCTGTGAATCTGTTTGGTCCAGTGCCTCAGTGCTTCCAAGATCTGCGAACCCCCAGAGGAAGCACTTCGCCTGGTCTAGGTGCCGCCGAGGTGGCTGCATGTTCAGAAGGGATGTGAAGTCAGCTGACCTGAGGGACCACGGTCCCATCCCTGCACGGCCAGACCCACTGGACCCTGAGCCGAGCAGAAGGTCAACAACTGGCTGCCAGCTCCAGGATGTGTGCGGGGCTCCCAGCCAGGCCTTCACGTGCGTGCAGCACATCTCCTCAGACCCTCACTCGCCCGACAGGCAGTGTCAGGGGCTGAGCTGTGTCCCCCAAAATCCTCGTGTTAAAGTCTTAACCTCCGGTACCTCGAATATGACTGTACTTGGGAACAAAGTCTTTAAAGAGACGGTTAAATCTGAACAAGGTCATTAGGACAGGCCTTAATCAGATAAGACTGGTGGCCTTCTAAGATGTGAGGACACAGAGACACACAGGGACGATCCCGTGAGGACACGGAGACGGCCGTCTACGCGCCAGGGAGAGAGGCCTCAGGAGGACCCAGCCCTGCCGACACCCTGGTCTCAGACGTCATGCCTCCAGCACCGGGAGGGGATCAGGGTGATGTTGAAGCTGCCGGTCCGTGGGGCTCTGCTACAACAGTCCAGGCGGACTAGCACGGCAGGAAACGCAGTCCTGTCCTGGGGCCCATTCGAGAACACGACGTACCCCTGTCCAACTCCAGGGAGGGCCCTGCCACCAGGCAGATTCTGAGGAGGCTGAGACAGCTCCACGGGGAGGCACGTGATTAGGCACCAAGGCTTCCAGTAAATACGCCTTACACGTGCTAGGTCCATCCTGCAAATGTTTTCTAACCCCGTGATTCTAGGCAGAGGGCTGGGCCCCCAGAGTGCTCACTACACACACGGCCTCCCAGCCTTTATGGGCTTTACAATCAGGCCGCCTCAGTGCAGTAGGGGCCAAGACAGAGGAACACAGGGGTCCTGGGACACCCCGTGGTGGGCTCTTTGCTTGACCTGGAGCTTAGAGGGGCTCCTGGAAGAGGAGGCACCTGCACTCGGGTCTCCGAGGAGGACAGATGGACACTGAGCAGGCAGAGCAAGGAGGAAAGGGTGTGGTGAGGGGGGTGTACCGGGCCCAAGACAGGGTGAGAACCCTGCAGCAGCACAGGAAGGAGCTTCGGCAAATGAGAAGCACAGAGAGTGGAAGATGTGGGGTCAGAGAGGACACAGGTGAGTCTGACATCAGGAGGGGGCTGGGGGCCCACCGGGGAGGCCTGTGATAACCCTGCTGGACAGAGAAAACCATCAAGATAGAAACAGCAGAGAACTGGGAAAAGTGCTCAGAGAAATTCAGAGGTCAATGGCATCATCCCCAGTGGGGAGGAAGAGCTCTCTTCCCAGAACGGGCAGAATAAAAGGGTCGGTGTGGACACTGGGTCACTCAGCAGGCAGCTGCTACGAGCTGACCCCTGAGAAGGCCCTTGGATGGCTCTACCAGAATGTGGCCCCTAGGAGACACACAGCCACCCCGGACCAGCAAGGCCCTCACCTGGGAAGAAGACGAACATCTGGTCAGTGGGGTCGTCATTGTGGGCTACCAGCACCGTGAGGTCTGTGCGCCGCGGCCGCCCCTCACTCGGCTTGTCTCCAAACTGGGCCTTGAACTCTTCCAGCGTCTGGTCCAGCTCATCCTGGGTTACCAGGTAGCCACGGTCGTGGCACAGCTGCAGAGAGGACTAGCCAAGTGAGCTCCGGGCAGAGGAGGGATGCGGGAAGAGCACGGGCCGGGTGAGGCCCCTGCAGGGGATGACACGGGCTTTGGGGGCCCGGTGCGACAGGTGCATGTAGAGGTCAGACAGGAAGCGGAAAGTGGGGACAAAGACCAGGACACACCCCAAGAGAGCTCCTGCACAGAGCCAGCTGCCACACAGCTGGTCACCTTACCCTGAGCCCCGGGGACAGGCTGTGACTGGGAAGCCGGGCAGAGCTATCTATGGCCGAGGGTCTGGGGCACGTGGAGGCAGAGGGGTGGGAGGGGCGCTGCAGGGCAGGCCAGGGCAGACTCTGGTCGGGAAAGGGGCCAAAGGCTGAGGGCCAGGACTCAGAAGTCAGGGCGCTTTGAGCGGGCGGACTGAAGAGGACCCAGACGAGAAAGGGAAGGTCAGAGCTGCCGCTCGGCCCCGCGCCCACCGCCCCCTCCCCCCAGGAGGCCCCTGGCCTGACTGTCGGCGCAGAGCCCCCCGGGCCCCCGGCGCTGTCAGCCGCTTTTGGTGCCCCTCTTAGAGTAGCTTTGCCAAGAGGTAAGGGGACGCTGCAAGCGGCTGCCTGGGTTGAGTCCCGGGGCCGTTAAACCGCTGGCACGGCGGATGCTCAGCCGGCTTGCTGCTATCAGCCCGAGTAACTCAAAGCTGCTGGCCGAGACCGAGAAGCGGCCGCCGGCCGGAAACACCCCTGGGCGGCAGGGCAGGCCGGCGGACCCGCAGGGTTCCTCCCACGCCCCCGGCTCTGGGGCTCCGAGTCAGGCCGCCCGGGAGCACGCCCGAGGTCTGCCGCCTCCCCTCTTCAGCTCGACTGAGACCCTCCCCCGGGGCCGGCCGCAGCCCCGCGGGGTCCCCTCCCCGACCCCCCCGCTCCCGCCGCCCTCCCGAGCCGCCGCGGCCCGGCTCGCCCGGCGCAGCGAGGCCCGCCCTCCCCGCGTTAGCCGCGCAGGCGCACCTGCATGATAGTCTTGCGGATCTTCCACAGCCGGTACGTCTCCTCCTCGTCGTCCATGGCCGCCGCCGCCCCCGTCAACGCGCCTGAGCCCGCGGCAGAACCCGCGCCGACTGCGCCTGCGCCGAGCCAAGCCCCCGCACCGCCCCGTGCAGGGCTGTCGACAGCGAACGCCTGGCCCCAGAGACCTTCGGGAGCGGCAGCGCCGAGGGCAGCCCGGGCCTTCCGAGGGCGCCGGCTGGCTGCGCGAGAGCCGAGCAAACGGAACCGCCCACTCTCGCCTCGGCAGTTCTCGCGTGGCCTTGGCCGCGGGGCCTCTCGGGAGTTGTAGTTTCGGCTCAGCGCCCGTCCGGGTAGGGAGTTTAGAATCGGGAGAGGCAGAAGCGAGGTGTGGGCGGGGAAGCTGAAGCTCGGACGCGATCAGCGGTCTCCTCGCCTGCCTCCCAGGGACGGCCGGGCAACGTAGCAGGCCCTCCATGAATATGCATCCAACTGCTGTGGGCCGCGTCCAACTTAATGCCCGAGAGCTTCAGTTTTCCCTTCTGTATAATGGAAATAAAGTGTCCCCGTTTCAGAGAGTTAGCTGAGAATCTAAAGGGACGGAGCTTGGCACAGCCCCTGGGCTCAGGAAATGCTCCCCCCTCTGTCTTCCCCCTGTCCTATCCCCTGAGACCCAGCAGGCCTCTGCCTGCATATCCACAGCCCCAGCCCCGACTGTGCATCCGCCCTTCTCCCCGCTCAGTGCTCGCCCCACTGGAGGCCATCAGGAACTTCTCTTTCAGCCATACATTCCCAGAGACGGTGAACAAAACAGGCCAAGCCCCCCTTACATTCCAGGGAGACAAAATAGAAATCTCGACCACAACAAGAGCATTAGAAGGTGACAGTGCAATGGAATACAGGAGCTAAGCCAGATGGGAGATTTTCAGTTTCAGCGGGGAGGTCAGGGAAGGCAAGGAGCAAGAGAGAGTCCAGCAAAAGGCCAAAGGAGTGGGAGGAAGCTGTGTGAATGTCTGAAGAAAGGTGTATCGGTCAGAGGGTACAGTGTGTGCAAAGGCTCTAAGGCTTCACTCTGCCTGGTGTGTTGGGGCAGCAAGGAGGCCTGTGGGGGCAGGGGGAGGAGAGCAGGTCAGAGGGTGTAGTGGGGCAAACCCTGGGAGGCCTTGTTGGTTGGGTTGAAAAGCTTGGGTTTTCTTTTTCAGCCACCGTCAGCATTTCAGCAGAGAGACCAGGCAGGGGACAGGGGAGGGCCACTTGGCCACAGATGGGGGCTCCAACTGGGGTAGGGGTGAGCCGTGGGCAGGCTCCTGGTGTTCTGAAGGTGGACCCCACAGGATTTGCAGGTGGACAGGATGCGGAGAAGAGAGAGACAGAGAGGGAGGAGGAAGAGAGCTGCTGGGACCAGGACGGACAGACCAGGGAGAAACAGGTGTAGGCGGCAGATAAGAAAGGGGCTCTGGGGGCAGAGGGCAGGGGGAGCCTGGTAGCTCAGTTGGTTAGGCTTCTGACTTGATTTCAGCTAGAGTCATGGTCTCAGGGTCATGGGATTGAGCCCCGAGTTGGGCTCCCGGCTCAGTGGGGAGTTGGCTTGGGATTCTCTCTCTCCCTCTCCCTCTGCACCAACCCCCACTCGTTCAGGTACACTCTCTCTCTCTAATAAGTAATTGAAAAAAAAAAAAGAATGGGGCTCCAGGAACACCTGGCTGGCTCAGTTGATGGAGCATGAGTTCCAACCCCACATTGGCATAGATTAAAAATAAATTAAAATTGGGC